CCCCCCCCCCCCCCCCCGCTCTGCACAGCACACAGAATCTGAAGTTGTGTGGGTGCGCGCGCGCGCGTGTGAGTGTGTGCCGGGGTGCGCACCAGTGTCCGCGCACTCGCACACCGGGGTCTACCAGTGACCGTGCCTGAATACATAATATACCGTGGGCATCCTCACCGCGCACGGGAGCGTGCACACACACACACACACACACACAGCGAATCACACAAACATACATAATTTATGCAGCCTTCAGGTCTGTGGGAGATAATTTCATTTCACATCAAACTGGGAATTTGGAAGCAAGGCAAGAAGGAATGGGAAGGCACAGGAGACCTCCCCAAGTGGGACCTGCAGTCATCTCTTTGATAGGGTTTGCAGCTGCCCTGAGATCAGTCATGGCAGAGAAGGCGCAGCAAACAGGAGGGTTTGGATAGGAAGGGCAATGCCGAATCTTCTTCCCCCTCAAATAAACAGCCGAGCTTAAAGGGGGGCGTGTGCATGTGTTCGGAGGCGATAACCAACTTCCCCATCCGTCCAAGCAGGCCCCACGCTGGCCCCACCAGCCCTGGTGATGGGCGGAGGTGCCCAGGAGCCTGCCAGGGTGAGCCGGGTACTGCAGCCAGAGCCTGGAAAGTGCCGCTGGGCGAGGGCACGCCAGGAAGGCTTTTCCTCCTTTCTCTTTTTCCTCTTTCCCCATAGATGGTTTCCTCATTCTCAATCACCTGTAGCAGCTTCCAAGAGTTCAGTCAGATCCCAGACACTGTTCTCAGAGGGGAGAGAGGCTCACCCTGGAGAGTGGTGTGAGGGAGGAAGAACAAGCCCCACCATATTCCCTGACTCCAGAGATCCCTGTTCAGGGAGTGTACCCCTTGACCCCTTACCAAACCCCCCTCCACACACACACTGGCCCCAGACCTTCGGGGCCTTCGGGTGCTTATCTCTGCACTCAGTCTACACACCCTTTTTGGCAGTGGTTTTGAGAACAAATTCCACTCAAAAGTTTCTAACCACTTCACAAGAGAGACCTTGGAGGGCCACGCAGTTTGTTTTTATCTAATGATATTTTTTAAAAGAACATGATTTACTTTCCCAGAAAACACGTGGATGCAGGAAGGAGAGGAAGGTGGATGGACCACCTGGCTTGGCCAGCAGCACCCAGCCCCAAGCCCCTGGCTCCGCGGAAAGCCCCATCGGCCGAGCCCTGCGATTTTGAGGCGGATCCGCACATTCTGCAAAGAACCCACAGCACTGGGAAACAACTAGATTCTTGCCTTTCCCAAGCCCTTCAGTTAACATTGCTCAACGCAGCTCCGTGGAGGGAATGCACATGATTTATATTCCGCTGGCTAGGTTGAAGAAACTCCAGGGAGATGTGCTCTGCTTCAAGAAAGGGGGAAAAAAATCCCAAAAACTGTAATGCAGAAAGGCTTTGTAGTATTTTTAAACCTTTGATTCAGTCCATATGTGACATCTGAACACCGCCAAATTCTGTCTATGTTTCAACACACACACACACACACACATACACACACACACTCCTCGCAGGAGAATGAAGTTGGGTTTTAGCAGTGGTGGTGGTGGTGGTGGTGGTGATGGTGGTGTAAGGTAGGGAGGGCCGCCTGGGATGGCTCTTTAAATTATTCAGTATTAAGGATGCCTCCTTCTATGCCATTCCTTGTGCCCCCCTCCCCGCCTTAGCAGTTACTTTTAAAGGGAAAGTATGTTGAGATGAATAGAAAAAAAAAACTTTCAGGGGCTTACCTGGTTGGCCTCTCACTCCGCGTCCTGAAAAGTAGAGAGCTAAGAAAACCCAGGTGAGAGGAAACATATCCATTTTGGAGAAAGAGGCTCTCTCCAGGGCTGGATGTGTGGACTTGTATAATTGTAAGTCTTTGTGTTTTTCTCGCTCTTGTGGTCTTCCTCACAGTGTCTTCTGCAGAGGATTCTAGTGGTCAGCGTCTCCCTCCTGGGCCCCGGCGGCCCGTCTTCACCTTTATCCTTGCTGGATCCCCACCTCACGGGGAGGAGGGTCGGTCGCTCTTGAAATCAGCCAAGAGGGAGCTAGCCGGGAAGAGGGGACGGTTCTCTTCTCTCAAACACAAAACGGATCTATGTCCTCTCCAGTTCCTCAAAGTATCATTTCCTTTATCCTACAACATCACGAATATTTCCCGAAAGCCAAGCGTAAAAAAAAAATTATAATAAAAATAAAAGCCAAGACTTGCCTTAGGCATCACACGGCCCCAGGCAGCTGTGTGATCTCAGAGGCGTAAACTGACACACATCCCCCGGCACCCGGGACCCACGAGAGGGCGGAGGCACCCACCGCCGGACAGCCCGGGTGGGAGGCGGCCGCCCGGCTCTCGCCCTCGCCGGGTTCCCCTAGCGGGATCCTCCCCCAACGGCTACACCCGCTCGACCAGCCTCACGAGGGGAGTCTGAGGAAGGAAGCTGCCGGTGCTGGTGCGGTTGCCGGAGCTGCTGGCGGTGCGGCGGAGGCGGCTCGGATCGCCTGGGAGCGAGCGAGCCCCTCTCCGAGTTCGCTCGCGCCCGCCTTCACCTCCACCTCGCCCAGCGCCTCGCCGAGTGTCTGCGCGTCTGAAGATGTGCTGGGGGCGGGCTGCGGGCTGCTGCCTCGCTCGCGATCTCTGCTTCCCCTCGGGCTCCCCCCTGCCTTTTCAGGCAGAGCAGCATGTGGATGTCAGAGCCGCGGCACAGCTATCCGATTACGCGCCGGCTCAGGGCCCGCCCCTTCTGTGTTCCTGATTAAAGAGGCAGCCGCGGAAACGCGCGGCGCAGAGGCGAGCGCCGCGGCACCCAGCTCGGGCGGGGCGGCGGCGGCGGCTTCCCCCGGGCCGCGGCCGGATCAAAGTTAAGGCAGCTCCCACCCCGCCGCCCCTCTCCCACCCGGCATCTCCCGCCCACCCGGGGCTCCTCCGCTTCAGGCTGCGCCGAGCCGCCCGTGCGCAATGCCCCGGAGAAGGAGCGCCCCCGGGCACCTCCAGGGCGTGCTGTCCTTGGCCGTGTCGACGCCGCCCGAGGGAGACTCCGCGGGAAACGGGGGAAATCCTGGTTCCCCCCAATTCCCTCACCGCGATGCCACACACGTAGAACCCAACACAATGCCACGCGCAATGGCGTTGGTGGCGCACGGTGTTTGGAGTAGGGAGCGAGGCGGCAGCCCAGCCATGCGTTTGAACAGGCAGCCGTGCGTGGCGGCGACACACACGCACAGGCCCGGCTGAAAAAAATCCCAAACACCCTGCGCTTACTACTCAGATCCTTTGTTATGTCCCAAACACACTCCTCTTCACTCTGGGTGATGATTCACTTTTCTTTACGCCCCTAACTTGAAACTACCAGAAGAGGAAAGACTTCAAAGAATGTGTTCAGGCCATTGAACTGGATCCCCCCCCCCCCCGCCCCCGAACATGTACAGGTACATGAAGGTTTCTACTTATATACATACACATTTCTCCCCTTGGAAATGTGGCCACAATTTGGGGTGAAAAAAAAAAAGCATGATGCCAGCTATTTTTAAATGGAGGTATGAAAACTGTTTAGAGGGAGCTGCAAGCTAACAGTTGGGGAAACACTTGTATCTTTGTTTCTGAGGATGGCTTTGTGGATTCTAAACGGTCTTGTTTCACAGGGCACCTATTACTCCATTATCATAAAGACTCCAACAGAAACAGTCTAAATAACACCCCGCATATACTTTTCTGCCACTCTGCAGATGAAGAAAAATAAAGTTTTGGTGACAAGAAACACACACATCTGACTATCCCATTTATTTCTTTGCTTGTACTTGTGGATTCTTCTGGGTGGTTTTCCTCCTTATCTGGATTTGCCATTAGCTTTGTTTATCACTTTTAGTGTTTGAAAAATCTGTGACTCCCACTTAACTGTTATTTACACTGAGATAACCAAAACAAAATTGAATCAGAAGTGATTTGCAAATAGTGGAGCCAAGCCGTGGAGGGGTTTTAAGGTGCTGTGTAAATCCACAGGCTGCCTATCACACTGTGGATCTTAGATGCCTGGTCTGAAAGGGCATTTAGCAGAGGCCTGGTGATTTCTCCCAGCAAGCATACCTCCAGGGGGGACTACCTTTCATTGCCCCCCCCCCACTTCTTCCTTTCTTTCCCTCCTTCCTTCCTTGGCTGGAGAGCACATCCACAATATTAAAAACTCCAGGTTTACTTTTTCCCCTGTTTAAATGTCAGTTATAAAGAAAGACGGCCACTCCCCGATATTCAATGGAGTAAAGAGGCAGTGTGGAGTTTGAATCTTAAGCAGAGATCCCCGCTTCTACTATGGCCAAGATGCTAACCTAGGGACAAATAGCACTATCTACAGTGACAGTGCCTAGAGAGTCATTTAGTATCACCTCCCCTGACCACTTACCAGGCTGGCCAGACCATTCTCGCAAGTGTCCAGCCTGGAAGAATCCTGTTTCTGAGAACCTTGTAGCCAGAGTTTAGGGGCAGGGCCTGGGGGAAAGAGGACAGAGAGAAAAAAGTAATAAGCTGAAGCCCATTGGGAAACCATGAGAATGAACTCTGACTTCTGAGCTTGGGGCCTGGGGTTGAGGGATATCCTGAAGTGGGGTAGAGGTCTGGTGAGTCTGGTGAGACTGGTGAGTCTGGTTCAGAGCCCTCAGGACTCCATTTCTTTAATCCTCTAGGGGGCAGCACTCAATAAATAATGGTCATAACTACCTGTGGTAGCACTTCTGTTGGTGCTTTTATTTCTAGAAGCTCAAAGCCCTTTATCAGACCAGGCGAGAGGCAGAGTGAGACCAGTTCCCCTCCAGCCCTCTCTGAACAAGACTCCACGGGCCCAGGGAGGACGGAAAATTGCTTTAATCTAGGACTTCCAAGGACTCTTGGGAACTAAACACAAATCCCACATGTGCCCAATGGAAAATGAACCTTTAGGGGAATTCTCCAGACTGGGGCTGGCTCAGACCTGCCAAGCCCCAGCTTTTGTCTAGACTGGAATCTCAGGGGTTTGGCTGCAATTGGTTCGGTTACCACCAGAGGTGCAGGGGTGAGGATCCAGGCACCGTCCTTTTCCTTTTCATTATGTTGTGAATTTACGTCCCTGACCCATGGAGATGCCTGCCTCCTAAAAGGCTGGTTGCGTCAACAGAAACAATGGGCTTGTGAACAGAAAAACCGAACCGACTAGAGGCTGAGATTTCTGGAAGCATCCCTGACTCACCTCCGACGTTTTACATCATTATCCTTAATTGTGAAATAATAATAGATAATCTCACCCTACATTCCATTCCTTTGACAGGAAGGGATATGGGAAACATAAAAGATTTGTGAATGATGCTGAGGGAAGCTGTAACCTGGCCGCACCCAGTGGAAACCCAGGCGTCCCCAGCGGGGCAGTCCCAAACCAAGAGAGCTCATCACCAAGGGCAGCGATGTTCAACCAGGGTGCGGCACGAATGTTTAAAACATGCAATACCTGACTGTCTAGTCAGGGGCACTGACCTCTTTCCCCTTAAATTGTCAAAAAAAAAAAAAGAAAATAAATAACAGCAGCTAACACAACAGTAGCCGTACGGTGTGAACGAATCCAAATTATACCTTTTTTTTTTTGGTAGACTAGCAAAAAAATATATATTGTTTTGTGTGCCACAGAATTTTCCCAATTAGTTTATGTGTGCCATGAGATGAAACAGGTTGAGAATCGCTGACCTAGGGTGAGTGTTAACAATGCAGGTTGGGTTTCTTGGATCTGGGGTGGTCTACAGATCTGAATCTTAACGCATATTTTAGGCCAAGCAATGGGCAGCCTATGGGCAGCCTCTGTCCTGGGGGTATTTTATTTACACATTGAAGGACACCTGGATCCCTGTTTTTTTCCACATTTCCTCTCCAGGCACTTTTCAAATGGGGGGCACATATGTCAAGATTCTGAGAAAAGCCACCAAAAACATGGCCCTTAAAATGCCGGCAAGGGGGGGAGGGGAGGTTACCAGCTCTACCTCATGACCTTCATTTTGCAGCAACAGCAAAGAACCAATTTGAATATCGGAAAAGCTCGGCTCCAGGGTGGGAGGGTTGCAGGAACAAGTTCAAGGTGCCCGCTGACGAGGTCTATGGAGCTGGATCCAGCCCTTTCACCACCAACCCACTCAACCACTGGTTGTTACTAGAGGTTTGTTTCAGGTACGGCGCTCCATCTGCGTTCATCACAATGTACTTATTAGATGCTCATGGAAGCATGACTGTGCAGGAGGTGCGTGAGCGAGTAAGACATTTGGGTCTTGCCTCCTGGGAACACAGGATTTGAAAGCTCCAGAAGCTTCGTGCTTCCACAATAGATGGCACCTGTCACAGGGTGCTTCCCCTTATCTCATCGACAAGCTCTCACCCTGAAAGGGGCAGGTCTGAGGCCTAATTGCATCTTAATCTGTAATTTACCACACGGCTTTAGTTAATATTTAGCTGCATCTGTCTCAGAGGCAAAAACTTCAGTTAAAATGTAAAAGCTCCTCATTTTGTATTCTTTTGTTTGAAGCTAAAGTCCAGGACTCTGGTCAATAAGGGTTTCCTCCCTCATCCTTTAAACAATGAACATTTTTCTTTCTTTTTAACACATTTGAATACTGCCTGGTAGTTTCTATCTGATATTACCTTTGGTGGGTTCCCAGGATTCTTACAGATTTTCATAAAGTATTGAAATCTCCTGTACTCTAAACTGTGTGTGTGTCTCATCTCTTTCTGACACAGACACTGGATCAGGTAGGAGGGAACCTCATGAATGAAAATAAGGGGGAAAAAGGTGTGAAATGTACAAAATTCTTTCAAACATTCCTGGAATCCTTGCAAAGGAAAGTCAAGTCATGTTGCTCTCTCTACTCTGCTTGTCTTAAGCATGAAGCTCATCTCCCTCTGCGACACTAATTTTTATACATTTGAGGTATTGGTGCTTCATGAAGGACCTAGTCAATGCCTCCCCTGAGAGCAGCGTTCTCCACTACAGCTCCCTGCCCTGTTGGAGAAATCTGCATTCTTAAATGGCTATTGGGCATTTGAGATGTGCCTGGTCTGACTGAGTCACCGACTATCGTTTTATTAAATACAATTTCCTAGCTTCTCAAAAATATACAGATTCCACATGTGTTTAACAGCTACCATATTGGACAACTCAGCTTTTGATACTAGACCAGAGCATGACATTCCCCATAGAAGCTCAGAGAAATTCAGACCCTTATGAGCATCGGAGGCTACCTCATCTGTTCACCAAAGAATGAGCGCCAATATCAGCAGAAGCATCATTTGAAAAGGTTTGGTGTCTATTTGGTGCAGAAGAGAAGGGCTGGCTCATACCATTGTCCACCATCCTGTGCCCCTTCTGTGCGCTCTTGGATGACTTTACGGAGCGCTCACCAGGCATCAGGGACTCCACGGTGCTCCCAGGCTCTTGACCTCAGCTTCAGTCCTCACCAGAGAGAAGCAGGTTGGGGTGGCCGAAACCTGAGGTCAGGGCAGACGGACCTTAGGTCTCCACTGCCCTTGGGTGTCCTTGAAAAGTCTATTAACCAATTTGGGACCAGCTTTCTCACCCGTAGAAGGAAGAGGCTGGTTTGAATGACTGCTGATCCTCTTCAGGTTTGTGTTTTGGCTGGGCTCTTTTCTGACTCCATCCTCATT